TTCTTGAATGGTCCAACCAGCTTTAACCCTCTACTGGCCACAATGAGGAATAAGCTGGAAGGAAACCATTCCGAACACCCCAAGCAAATAAAGACGAGAAAGGACTAAAAAAATTAACTGAAGCAAATATATCAAGACAAAATGCCCCGGTCGAAATTCTTCCTTCCAAAATTGTAAAGCAACGGGTCACTCACTGGCATCCTTCAAGCAGAGTGCACTCCTTCTGCGTGCGTGCCTCAGTCATCAATCCGTCCTTCACAGGGTCAACGCAGATCCGACTGTACCTCTCCCAACTGATGGACACCTTATCCCCAGTCTTCCACACGTCTTCTCCCCAGAACCGCAACGCCAATCCTTTGGCGCACTGGAACGCCATCAGACACGCCAAGACAACCACGAATCCCTTCAAAATTGCCCGCGACTTGCTAAACGACAGACTCCCGTCTCGTTGCACCCAGTGCATCACGGCGAGCATTAAGCAAAGCCCAATCACTAGAGTAGACTCCAACAACAACTCTTCGACCATGATGAATTTGGAGAGAGCCAGGAAAGGAAGACAGCCCAGAGCAGCGGCCACGGAGACGAAGAAGAGATTCACGTTGAGCCATGACACCGGGATGAGGAACACGAGTCCGATTAACGTCATGGTTGAGCGGATCAGCCCGACATACGTGGCATCGGTGAGAGAAGCGGCGGCAAAACGACACCAAGAAATTGATACGAGATGTGGGACCAAAGTTGTGTAGAAACCGGCCCCGTTGTTGCGTTTGCACATTGCCACGTAGATGACGGCCAAGGAGGTGATGATGAGGCCATGTGGCAGCTGGAGATTTACGTAAACTTCCGAAGTTATTCTCCAGCGATAAAAATCTGGAACAAATTGAATCAATAAGAGTATTAGGACAAATTAAAAATTAGGAGGAATCAAAATTACGAAATGAATCAGAAAACACCTACGCAGCAAATCTCTTAGTGGTTCGAGTTATCGTGTTGAAAATAAACGTCGAATTGAAATTCGTCAAATTATTTGTAAGCAGTTTATAATAAGATGCCTAGTTTTTGTGATGCTTCCACTGCGTGAATATTTCAATCAGTGCCTTAATTGTTTCAAAGGGTTGGATGATTCATTCACTCTCAATATTGATGCACAAATGAATCAATCAACATAAGAAAATCACTTGACCAGCTGACTTCATAAATCTCATGGACACATTACATTTATTTTTTTTGTGGTTCAGAAAATTTTAAGTACAGTAAATGTGAATATCTTGCAGAATTTCAACTTGTGGCAATACATGTCTCCCAGAATCTCTTAGCCAAAATTGGAAAAAAGTTCACATGCTAATCTTTGAAAGAAAGAAAAAACGTGGTATTTTCACAAAATTCTGGCTGATTTTTTTCTTGCGTCGAACAATGCTTTTTTGAACACCAATTGTTTTTCAGATCAAACGTATGCCATTCAAATTTCTATCCCAAGAACATTTGTAGGCTGGCTGAATACAGCTTTCAAACTAAAATCTTTGGAAAAAACTTATGAAATTGTCATCCACAGTTTCCCGCATAACTCACATTTGCCAAAAAATGCGAAGATGCCGGGACCACGTTGATACAACCCTTCCCCGGCCAGATAAATAGACAGCAAGTGCAGCCCGGTAGCTCCCAAGACCAAGCCATCAGTTGCCTTACACAGAGTCGCAAATGACCAAATGCAAAAAACGACCCCGAGGATGACCAATTCTGAACCAGGCATCCAAGCTGGGTCCACCAGAGGCTTGACTGCCACACTAATGAGCAAAGAGGCAAAGAAACGTGGTGCAGCGTCTTTGGCTCGGTTCGCAACGAAACGCAACTCGGGCTCCTGTGTTTCCAGTTCGGGACATGCGTCGCGGAACAAGCGGGACCAGATCTTGAAGCGCTTGAAATCCGCACTAGCCTGATCAAAAGATCAACAGAACAGTAATTTTCTACATTAGTTTCGATTCATTTTAGGAAAAAAATGGGGAAAAAATTTAAAATATAATCAAGGCACCACAGTTTCCATTTAAATAACGTCAATGAAAGAACTGCGCTGGCAACAGCAATATTTCGATCATTACTGTGGTCGGCCTGTACAGTACTGTATAGCACTGTATTAAAAGTTGACTTCACTCGAAGATTTCGTCTTGATAGAGCATTGAATTAAAAAGAGCGAATGTCACTCACTGAAAGAAAGTGGACTACGTAATTATCGACCCGATGATTTCAAGACAATATATAATTCAATTAATATTTTCTTGAGTCGCACAGCAAAGCTTTAGATTTCAGATGATTTAAAGCAGATATATATTCAGTTTCAGTTGCATAAATTAAGAGCTGTTTGTCGTCCTTGAAGCAGCTAAAATTGCTCCGTGGTTATTTTTCTTTTTTAGCGCAGTCAAAAAACCGATTAGTACATACAACAGCACTGAGAGGAAGTGAACCGAGGCTATGACAGATCTGACGATTCAAATGTTGCAAAATCACACATTCAAGACTACTCGTCTCAACAAATATCAACCAACCTGTAGCATTTGGCAATTGGCTCCCACCGCAAACACCAGCGAAACATAGAACACAAAAATAGGTATGAGATGAGCGATCACGTCCCAGCGCATCGTAGCGAACACAACAAGGATCAAGACGGTTCTCAGCTGATCCAGAGGCAACAGGTTGACAACGGCTCTGTTGGCCCGGCTCGAAAATTCCTCGACTACCGCAGCATAAGCTTTAGTCACAGAAAATTTGGCATCTTTGGTCGCAAGGGCGTTCTGAAACACCGGGAGTTCGCCGCGGGCATAAGAACGCGCCGCACTACGGAGGTTTTCTTCGGATAACTTCTCCCCGCCGAATTCTTCTTCCAGAGAGCCTTCACGACGGAAAGAAAGATGAATAAACTCACTTCGAACACTCAAGACGAAGTCAATCTGTGCTACAGTACGTGACCGAAAAGAAATTTTCTTCGCTCTAGCATGCCACCGACCTCGAAAAGCTGGGAACAACTCAAGATAGTTAAGGCTCAACATTGTTTTACTACCCATGAATCATTGTACAGAGCAACACCTCTTTCATTCACGAAGAAGACCTTCTTATAATTTGGAACACACTGTCTTTTCATGCACAATTTTGTCCGGAAAATGATCCACGTGCTAATATTCTTCTTCTCATGGATTTTTGGACAGCTGTTCAGCAATCTCAAGAGATATCCCAAGAACTTTTTCAAGAACAATTTGTTATACTGTATCTCGCACTCAATGTAAAAATTAATTAAGCAACCTTTCTAGTCGAACATTCAGATAATTTCAAGGGGACGAGATACCGCACACATAAATTGGAGAACTGTGAGTATGAGCAGAAGGCTGAGAACGTAATGAGGGAACTTGACGACTCACTTGCATCAGGGTTTGTGTCCAGGGACATGCTACGTTTCAGAGGAGGCGCCATCTTCTTCCTGGCTTGCACCGATTTGATGCGAACTTTCAGCTGATTCGTTGTCACATATTCCTCTCCTTTCGAAACACTGGAAAACCGAGTTTCAGGAGTTTTAATCAAACTTTTATATTTTAGACCTCAGCGTAATTTCTTCCGATACTTGAACTTTGATACTCTTACTTTCTTCCACCAGACGAATGCCCCCCCGGACCACCTGTGGTACGCTGACACAATCGAATGACAATCCTAGCCCAAAAATCCCAATTGACTTACTTCTTGAAAAGCTCGATGGCAGCTCGGTTCGCAACGCGTTCCAGCAAAGGCCTCTCAAGACATTTGGTGACGTCAACGTAATTATGTTGCGTGATGCCCAAACCCGCGTCCAAGCACCGCTTCAACAAATCCGTGGCCTCAGCGTGACCCTGTTCAGCAGCCTTCAAAAGCCAGTAGACGCCCAATTCCGCTGTTTCCTGACTCGATTGCAGCTCCTGAGGCGGCGAGGATGCAACAGGGTCGTCCCCGTCAAATAATCTCCGCAACTCTTCCACTTCCCCAATGAGCTGCTTGGCCAGAGCAACCTGAGATGCCAAGTCCCCAGTCTCCGCCACTTGAGATCGCAGACGGTGCAGGGAGCTTCTCGGACCATCTATTCAAGAAAAGTTAACTCAGTATTGAATCTTTAAAAAAAAGATGAACTCGTCTGACACTTCTAATTGGCTACTGATATAATTCCGTGATAAAAAGTAACTCACCGTAGGTTTTCCACTGTTTTCTTGGAGGCTTCCTCACTTCTTTCTCGTCCAGGTCTCCAGACATAATCTCAATTAAACTGCACCAAATAAGTCACTGAATTGCGATATACAGTACAAGTAAGTCAGTCTGTGAAATAATGAGAATTTAGAAAGGCAGCATAATCCCACGCAAGAATTCAATACATTGAAAGGTAGTAAAATGCTGCGATTGACAATTTTCTGCTGAACTCGGATACAACACGATATTCTCATTATCGTCATAGAGCAAACTCGACTGAGGTATTCAAGCGACTTGGGGAATCCTTTTAGATTTTCCCAGTTAATAATTAGTACGCTTCACAAAATACCGAATCATAATTGATCTTAAAGTAATAATTGTTCTGGTTGTGAGCGGGATGGTTGGAATGTGCATCAATTCCAGAGAATAATTTCATCTTGAATTCCTGAAAACTTACTACTGTATTAGTTTAAGTATGAAACATGCTCTGGACTGAAGAAAGAGTATGGAAAAGTCGAAGTTTATGCGTGAAAATAAACATGAATAGAATATCGGTCGCAGGCTGACCCTGAGGATGATTTAATCGGGCCTTAACGTGAATTTGACAAGACAAGGTTTTACATTGTCATTTAAAAATTGCTGCGTCACAGGGCCACCACTTAAAATAGAGTGCACGGAACTGAAACCATATTTCTAGTAGACCTTTCTTTTCTATTCGTAGGGTCTGAAAAATCGAGGCTCGTCTTACACTCGCCAATTAAAATATCGCAACACTTTACCAGTAATCATGAAGCATTTGAAAGACTCAATCTGATCACGAAATAACGCGGAATGATTGCATTAAAAAAACCTCAGAAAATCACAGCCAAAGGTTTTCAGCGCGTAGGAGTTTCAACCTCCATTTCAACGTCAGCGCAAGCATCATCGGGGATTTCCGGTTCGTCATCTCCGATGGAAGCTGAAGATTCGCCAGAAGCAGCCAAAGCTGCCTTCATTTCACGAAATCGTTTAACCAGGGCCTTCGAGTCTTCACGCACTTCCTTCCTCTTGCTGCTCGTGGACAATAAATTGAGGTATTTCCGCGCATCCACTAAATTGCCAGACTCGATCATGTACTCGGCGACGGATTTGTAAGCAATCGGAAGAAATTCGGCCTCGCAGCCATCCTGCTCGCAACCGAGGCTGATGAATTTGAGGAACGCTTCTGCGGATTCTTTCTTGCGTTTCAATTTGTCCAATAAAACTGCCCACCTTTGAACGCGAGAAAAAAAAAGCTTTATGCCAACAACTGCCCATGAATATTACGACGAACTCTTTTTAAAAACAAAGTTTTGCATCGAGGTTGTCTTTCGGGCTCCCGTTACCCCGTATCGGCGAGTTTCCAGGAAGTCAGGCCCGTAAAAAAATGAACCATTTCTGACATTCACAGTTCCAGTGCAAATAAGCAAATAAATTCGTTTTAAAAATAAATAAATAAAATTCTTTCAGAACTAGATTTATTTAAATTATCTGGGAACTTTCTCGTACCCGAATTTGCCTCATTTCCAATTACAGTATCATACGCTGACGTTTTGCTAATTTATGGATTAAAGTTACCCATCGAGTTCAGCAGGATTCCCAGGAATGGTACACTGGTCTATCCTCGTGAACAATGGTACCAACAAATGAATTGATGGATTTTTTAGCCACTTGGAGAGTGATTTGAAAAATAACCCTCATTGGACGCGTCACTGTCTTTTAGCGTTCGAAATAATTTCTGAAATATAGCAGAGAGAAAACTTTAAGGCAGTTTTCGCTCCTTAAAACTTGAAGGATTTTATTTAGGATTGTCTTGAGTTGAGTAAATGAATCATACCGGAAATATATTGTTGCGGGAGGTTCGCAAAGCTTGATTGACCGCATGTAGCATTCAACCGCAGGCTTGATTGCTCCCGTGGACTCGAAAACCCCAGCCAAAGCTAGGTAAATTCGATTATCGAAGGGACGTAGGCCAAGAGCAGTTCTGTAGTATATCATCGCGAAAAACGGGAACTTCAGCTTGTCGTACGTTTGACCCAAACCGAACCATGCCCTGAAAATAAGTGAAATACCGTAATGTCTTCATATTTCAAGCCGAGTAAATTTGGGTCTGTTCATGAATTTTGCCGATCTCCACGCTGCCTGTATCTATCATCCGCAATGAAAGTAATTTTCGACAGTGAATTTAATATTGAAAACCTTTCTGACCTCCGCTCAACTTTCGGGCATCCGTGCTAAAATGAAGCCAAAAAAAAAAGTGTGACCAGGCACATGATTTACATGGATGAAGCTCTGCATACACATGGACAAAATGAAAATACATTTAAAATACTTCGGGAAATTTTACCCAAAAAACAACGATCATTCAACAATGCAAAAATCGTCTTCTTGACCATGGAGAGTTTCAAGATGAGACTGCTTTAAGAAACAAAGGTTAAGCAAGTGGAAATCCAGGCTCCAATTAATGATGATGATCAAAGATACATAAGGCGATTATTAAACTTTCTATCAATCCCACTGCTGTTCGAGACACGAAGAGCTTTAAAAGAAAACTCGACTTTCAAGCTTTTTCTTTCAAACGTGACATCCATAGGATGGATAACCGCGATAATATTTTTATGATGAGTTAATTCTTTCTCAAGTCGAAAAAGAATCCTGTTGCAGCAATGAAATTTACTACAGCGGAAAAATGTTTGAACTGACCCTCGTACCTATAATTAGCACAAGAGACGAACCTGTAATCCCTGGGATTCACGTCAATTGCGCTCCGGTAACACTGAATGGCTGCGTTCACGTTTTGCTGCTTCATCTCCATGTAAACGTGCCCCAAAAGGGTCCAGGCACTCAAGCACTCAGGATTAATCTTCAGCGCTCGATGAAAATACATCGCAGCTTTATCAAACGCTTCCCTCAAGCTATAATGGTTCCCCACTATGACACACGTCTCCGCTTTGAACCTGATGAAATTTGAAACCAAATTAAAACGCCGAAAAGTTATAGTTTCTGTATTTAAAAAAAAAAAACGCTGCAGTTATTGTACGCGACCGAAAGTAATGTCCACTCAACATGAAGTGATTTTTCCTTTTTTTATCTGAACAGTTTCGGATAAACTGACGCATTAAATTAACAATGTTTTTAACATGGAATTAGATCCAACTAACCGAACCTAAAGCACGCGTAAGCTAGCATGAATCTTAATAAAAAACGCTTGGTCGGTCCAATGTAAGCTAATAGCTAACATTGATTTAAGAAGCTTAGCATGAATAAAAAAGGGACATCGGTGACATAAACCACGAGCAATGACAGGCAAAAACAAAAATAAATGGGGTTTAGAAACTAAACCAGAGGCGCTACTTTTGTTTGGAACATTGCATCAACAAAATTGTGATTCACTCCAACCATCATCATTCTAAAACAATGAAGAAGTACGATTGTTCACAATAGCTAAACTTGGTCACGTACTTTCTCAACTCCAAGGTTGGTCACAAAAATTACTGCATAATTCACCTATCAATCTCCAGGACTTGCTGCGCCAGTCGCTCCAGTCCTTTCTTGTCATCATTCGTGTACAACAAATTGGACAGCACGTCCAACGAATCTAGTCTATATGGATCAATGTTCCTGATCAACTGAAAAACTTCCAAACTCTCCTCGGAGTCTCTGTTGCTGTTGTGCGCAACAGCGACCAGTGTCCACACATGAAGACTGCGTCGGAAACCGGCGACGAAAAGGGCTTGACAAGCATCCAATGCGGCGTCCATCGCTTGAAGCTCCAGAAATGCATGGGCAAGGAAAAAGGTTTTGATCCAATGATCTGGCAGACGTAGCTTGGATAGGATTAATTTGTGTGTGGTCAATGAGAGTAGTTCCTGCCAGGCACTCCAGTTCAATGGGAAATCTAGCTGACGTAAAAGCTTCCTAAAGTTCCGAAGAAGGACACTTCTTTGGTTTTCGGCTAAAAATCGCTAATTAAAGCTACTAAGGGAAACTTTTTGTCAAAGTCGAAATAACTTTTTTCAAGCTGGGCAGAAATTATATTAGAGGGCTATTTTCCGTCAGGTGAGATCCACACGATTCATGATCCTTTATCTATGAGAGCAAAAGGAACTACTGTACAGAAATTTTAAATTACAGTATATACTTGTGCTGCCTAATCACGGAAGTAAAACTAACTCAAGACCCTAGAATTGTTTTCTCATCGTAAATTTATATATAATATGATGAATAAAATATTGCTTTCGAACGATTTTTCAGGGAGAAATTAACTCCTGACAGATTTTCTCTTGGAAAAATCAGGATCCTTCAGGAACAGGAACTATGAAAAAATGTTTTGAGAAACGTATTAATCTCTAAGCTGACTGAAGGTTTCGGAACGAGTGAATTCTACGAAGATTTAATTCAAATCAATACCAATAATTTTTAATTGACTTGAAATCGAGTAAAAAAAATTCACTGTCCTGCAGTACATTAAAAACCATTTCATATAGGCTAGATTACTTATAAAAAAAACAGTAATTGAGTAAGAAGCTCTTCAACTTCGCACAAGAAAATGTCCTAAAGAAGTTTACTCCCTGAACTGTTTTGAGTGAAGGTCGAACTCTGCGAACGTTTACTGCGGCATGTTTATCACGTACTTAGGCAGGCTTTTCGGCCATAGGTACGTACGTACATTAAAGCAGAAGAGCTCCAACAACTCGGGACAGGGTTCTTTCGGTTTCGGTTCTTTGGGATCCAATACGTCCACCGTATTGTCCAACCGTGTTTGCTCGAGCTGGAGATACCTGAAAAAAATCACGAAAACATCATACAAGTAAAAAAAANCAACTCGGGACAGGGTTCTTTCGGTTTCGGTTCTTTGGGATCCAATACGTCCACCGTATTGTCCAACCGTGTTTGCTCGAGCTGGAGATACCTGAAAAAAATCACGAAAACATCATACAAGTAAAAAAAAATGAACGAATTCTAAAAAGTCGAGGGGGATTCACAAGCAATAGCCCACGATGTTCCAAAGTTCCGGAATGCTTTTCGGATTTTTGAAAAAGTTTTCGATTTTCGCGGGAAAACTTTCCATTTACAGCCGAAATCGTCCACCCACGTCACGGGGTGCTAAAATGTTTTCAGTCTAGCCAAGAAAAAATTATTGTTGCTGCTTTAACCATGATCAAAGATTTGGAACAGATCATGGGTAAAATGACAATGACTTTAGCTGGCCTGACTTCCTTAGGATCTTGTGACATGGGTGGAAAACTCTGGCAGTAACGGGAAAGTTTCTACATATTATCATTCAGTAAATTGAAATTGTACTTTAAAAATCCGAAAAAAAAATCCCAGAGGCCGCGTCCAAATTGGACAACCCTCCAACAGTGCCTTCAAGTTTTTCACAAAACCTTCTGAATACGCACACTTAAATTTTCACTTTCGCGATCAAGGTACCGAAGTTTGAACTAGATTTCAGCTAGCAGGAACATCAGAACACGGTAAATTATGATTCAATACCACTCTTTCAAAAATTTCAACGAGGTTATCACTTCCTCAAGCGGAGGAATTGAATGTAAAAACAAACCGGAAATTGGTCGAGTTGTGTCACATTTGGAGAGTAGTCCACTTACGATGCGTAAAAGTGGATAAACAATCCGACGGGTTCCTGGCAATCCTGCGTGAAAAAGGCGGCTCTCGCGTATTCTCCTTCGTTGAAACACGCTCTGGCCAGCAACAAGTTGCAATACTGCTCGTATTCGTAGTCGAAAAACGTGGTTTCTTCGCCAAAGTCCTCCAGCTCGTCGTCTTCTGCATTTATCATGGCATCGTACAGCTCAATGAGCCACTTGGACGCATGAAACAAACATCTCTCGGAACACGCCGCTAAACTTCTTCGGATTTCTTCGCAGGCCGTCTTTCTAACTTGGTCTTTCATTCGGGAAATCATCTCCTGGGAAGTAGCATCCATGCTCGGGAAATTGCCGGCATACCGGTCGACAGAAAAATCATTTTCTACACAAAAATCCATCCTGAATCATCCGAAACAAAAACAATACTTATAAGCACCAAAATTGTAAAACCGCTGAAGATTCAAAGACAGAGAGATTGACACAATGTACAGAATTCAACGGAATTAAGGTGAAAAACAACTTCTTAGCAAAGCAAAGGCCGAATTTCCCCCACGTTTCTCGTATCTTCAACCATTCTTTAAAAAAACACATTCTCAATTCAATAATGCGAATTTTGACACTTATTTATTCTTAAACTTGAAATCAACAAGTCACACCATCCAATGCTAATTGAAATTTTATTAATTAGCATTGATGATTAATACGCATTAGTGAAGAGGGTATGGGTCATTTTGTGGGATTGAGACGTTGAATAATACCTTTAAAAATAATGACGCTTAATTATTTTTGAAAAAAGTTATGTATTAAACAATGGTGACCAATTTTTTTTTCTTCCTTAAATGCGAAAAACAGCGGTTAAAGGTTCTCCCAGACAATCTTTTGAAATCCTCTGTATCCACGCTTTTTCTTGAAATTCGGCAAGAAAAACAAGTAAAATTGAATGTATGCGGAAATTAGACAAAACTCACATTACTTTGAAGCTCGATGAACCTTGAAAGTCCACAAACGGAATCTACCTTGAGTTACGCAAAAAATTTGCAAGAACCACAATGCTACCATCACTGGTAAAAATCGAAAAAGATATCCGCACAGTGCACCTGAAATTACAAATTACTCACTTCGACATTTAAAAGAGTCAATATTGTCTCGACAGGAATACAATGTTCATCACTCTTTTCACAGAAAATTTCGTCGCAAAACGAGGACTCAATTTAAAAAATTCTAGCCATAGAAATTCTGCAAAAAAACGAAGGCACTTTCTGCACATTATCGTCCGCTTGAATCCAAGAATTTCAAGGGAAAGGACACAGTTTTACTCGACATGTTTGTAATTCAAAAGAAATAACAGTGGCGCGGTCATGCTCAACGTCCAAAATACCACTTCACACGCGATATTCAGCAGCATACGGATTCGGTGTTTTGAGCAATTCACAGACGGTTGTCAAAGTAACAATTTCCGGATTCAGGAATTTCATCGGTCATCACTTTCATAATTTGTTCGACATGGAAAACTTTTTTCGCATGGTTTAAAAAAGAGCGATTTTACGGGATACGGACGCACGGTACTATTTTGAGAGCGAAATACGGGGTTGATCCAAAATTGTAGCAAAAGCTTTGAATTAATTCTGGTCTTCTGAAAGCGGTACAGAAAAAAGTAGCGTCTAATCAAATGTTCAACACAACAATTTTACTTCAGTGCAATTCCATGCATTTTTTCAATCATAAAACGCTAAGAATTTTGTAAACTTGAGCATTTGCAGATTAAAAGAAAGCCTCAAAATGTTCTCTGGCGATCTAAACTTCCCAGTCAGAATCCTCAACACCTTCAAGGAATGAATATGAAGATTGAAAACACGCCTCCTGTTGAATTATTATTGATTCTTTAAAACAACTTCCTAAATCCCTCGTTCCCATTTCAGAAAAACTTTCCCATCTAGCATTGTCAACAAAAATTTTGTCCAGATGAAAAAAACATTAAATTTTCGTCAGTGGCAAACAGATTTGGGCCATCATCTAACGTAGAAGGATAATCAATTGTCTTCTAATAATGTCTAATTTAGACGGCGAAAATTCGACCGAAAATTTTCACAGCATTTCCTCCTTTCTTTCGATGTCAGGGTGTGGAAATTTTGTCAACATTTTTGAAACAACCCCCATACAACGCACTGCCGTAAAAATTATCTTTTTCAAATTAGCTCCAAAATGCGAATGATCCCACGACTATTTGCAGCGACTACGACTTTGGATCCTAAGCGCCAACTGACCGCTGAAACAAAATCATTAGTCTGATCCGGAACTGCTTGAGAACCGCGATCGAGCTTCGAGCGCGCAGGATCAAACTGGAACTCCAGCAACTGTTTCGAAAATCCCTTGTAGTACACGAACAAAGAATTATTCTCCGACCCACAAGCAATGTATTCTCCATTCGTCGTCAACCCGACGAAGTTCTTCTCATTCACGTGCCCAGAAAACGTCTGCACGGCATACGACTGCTGCGTGTTCCACATTTTCAACTGATTGTCTGTCGACGCGGACACCAAGTCGGATTCGTTCAAGAACTTGATGTAAGACACGGCTTTCTGGTGGCCCTTGAAAACACGCAAAGGTCCCGAAGTGTTTCTCAAGTCATAAAGATGAACACAGTGATCCGCAGAGCCGAATGCAACGTGGTATCGCGAAGTAGGACTAAATTCCACGCAGCAAACATTGGCTTTGCCTTCGATGGTCTGCGCGGAATGGCTCATATTCGTGGACCATATTTTCACCTTATGGTCATCACTGCCGGAAGCAATCAACTTTGCGTCCACATGATTGAAATCTACGCTCCAACACCGCTTCTCGTGCTCCTGAAACGTATGCATTTTTGTGCCAGCAAACGCGTCCCAGACAATAACGCTGCCTTCGTAATCACTGCTGGCAAGCCATCCTTTGAAGTAGGGATTCCAAGATACGCAGCTTATTTTCGAACTACACAACATCTCGCTGTGCGGGTAATGAATGTCGACCACGTCCTGGGAAACTGTGGTGTTGTAGTCAAATACTTTGATCTTCCGAGTCACTCCAGCGATGGCGAAGAATTCGGAGTCTTTGTCGAATTCAATACTGGAGACGATACTGGAACGGGTATAGAACTCGTTGGCGTAGTTGAGCGTGGCAAGCGGCTTGAACTTGCTGACTGATGTTAATCTTGACAGTGTACAGGCGAATTCGTCTATTTCCGTACCTGTGGACATTTTCACGAGTGATCTTGTATCCTTGTGTCAAATATATACGGAAATACAACAAAATTCTCGCTCGTATGTATCCTGCAAGTCAACAAAACAATTTTCTTACAGGAGAATTAAATCTGGTGTCGAAAGTCCCTAATCTCGTGTTGACAAGCTTTTCTTTATCAAACTGAAATTTTTCAATCACACAATTGAACTCTTTTCAACACTCGTAAATAATACAAATTACTTTAAAAAATCGTATGCTTCCGATTCGAGATGATCGTCCAATTGAAATTCGCATTTTCCAAGACTGTGTCCCAAATGTTCTAGGGAATGTCAATTTTCTTTGTCGCAATCACACTTGAAGTTTCAATGTTTGCGACTTTTCACCAGGAAAATGAATAACTATTTTCTTCAAAAAAGTAAAATGCCACCTCGGCAGTTGTCATTACAGTATTGTATACAGTATGTAAGAGTTCCATCTCGGTAGTACAGTACTGCATTCATAATTTCCCACCGGGTTTTTTTACGACTAACAGACGATTATTCATAAAATGACTCCAAGCGTCATTTTCCGCTGGAAATTTCTGTCGAGGAATACGAAGCAACAGATTTGCAAATTCCTCTTTTCTTCATGATTGGGAAATGGGATGCCCTTTACACTGTAAACTAACAATGCGATGCTGAAAAGGGAGCAACAGAACAGCAATAAAACATTGTCATGCTTTGTGAAACCAAAAAGGGTTTGTGATTGATTCGCAGAAATTTTCGGTCGCTTCTTATAAATTGATATCTCCACTGTCCATGCTAATAACCAGACAACTTTTTTGGCACCACAATGATCGCATAATCAAAGGTCTAAAATATTCGAAATAAAAATAAGCAGCGTCGTATTTTCACATTAAATTGACAAGGAAATAAGATTAAAATTAGCACACATGTAAAAATAAACTGGGAGCACTACTGACCAATGTTGAGAAGACGTCTTTGGAAACCATGCCAGCGGTAACAGGATCAACGTTGAAAATGTTCAAGATACACGTACCTGGATTTGCATCGAAGGAGCGGCAGTTGAAGTAGGTTTTCGTGAGGTCATGGAAGTGGCTGTAAAGCCGCTGTCTCCGAATCACAAGCGACGGCAGCGACACCGACAATCCCGAGTCAATTTCCGGAGATGGTTCTTCATCCATGTCCGGAACCCGGTCGTTTCCGTGAACCACGGCGCGTTCCAATAACGCATCGATTGATTTTTGAACAGCATCACGATCCCCAGAAATCAAAGAAACCTCTTTTTCTAAAGTCTCTAGTTCTTCTCTTTTGTGATGCAGGAGGAGGGTGAGGAATTCCAAAAGACACTGATTCTTCGTCAACTCGGATTCGCACTCGAGCTCTTGTTTCTTCTGCTCGAGAAGCTTATGAAGATGAACAACTTCATTCAGTTCTACTTTTTCATTGGGGTCCATGAGCAGTCTAGTGAGACGAGCAAACTGACTCGACACTGTCGCATCGAATCCACTGTAGTCATCCTTGTATCCTTGAACTTTTCTTCCACTTCCCCGAAATTTCGAGACGATGTCGTTTAGAACGAAGTTGGGGAATAAATCGTTCCGGCTTTCAATTTGCCAGCTGCATTTGGGACACCGATCGGAGTTTTCCAGGCTTTGCTTGATGCACTCATAGCAAAAGGAATGACCACATTTCGTCATGTGAGGCTCCGAAACGCAGTCAAAGCAAATGGGGCAAAGGAGGTACGAGGGTTTGTCATCCAGGCTTGGTGTTGAGGTTTCACCCTGCAGCGGAGTGCTGCATGGATCAGTGCGGATTTTGTATGGAGTCAATCGATGCGGGCGAGAGGCGGGTCGACTGCGGATCGGCCCGGGATCCATGTCACCCATTCTCAATTTACCGACGTCACCTGCAAGGAGATGAAGAAAATTGAGAATTCTTTTAATTTATCAACAACTGAACGCACTCCTGCACTCTAAATCCGCGGATGGTAACTCGCGCGAAAACTGGTCAGGTATTAACCGTATTATTCAATTTTTCGCGCGCTTTTGAATGTTTGATTTGTCTGACAGATGTCGCATCATTCAAGACAGATGTCGGACACGATCCATCAACTAACCAATTCAATCGAGCGCTAGATCTGCCAAACAAATTAAGCCGAAAAATGGCACAGAAAATTCAGCAACACGAATTCAGAGGAGAGGACACGGTAGACACATTTCAAAAATTTTTTTTTATATCTTCGGAACGTATATAACCATAGGTTAAATGGGTAACGAAGCCAACATTGTACAGTTGTGAGAACGATTTGCCAGAGACGATGCTAAAAATAAATTGATACCACTCTCAACTAAATTTTAGATAATGAAAATCATTTAGGAATTCATAAAAAATGTTTTGAATAATTTCTCGGCCGATAGCCGTAAATATATTTTTAAATACAGAAACGACCTTGACGGTATATCCGTGGATTCGGATGTATATCAGAATGAGATACTTACAGAAGATTCAGTCATGCGATAAGGACCATATCACTCGTCAATTCAAAAAATTCACTTTTCCTGACGCCGAAAATAAATCTGCAACATGTAATAAGAGATTTTTTCAAAGAATCAGACCTCGAACAATAACAACAATAATTGCACTGACACTTGATGACAAGCACACAAATGCTCAACATGAATCACTACGACCACCTATAGTGAGCGAAGGCTTTGTTTGCTTCACATTGCCTGTGAAGATCCTTTTTCCTTTGCACAACACGTCCCTAGAAATCAAACACGATTGTTTCAACATTCGATTTAAATTTGAACTCCGAAAGGAGAATGCACCTATTACCTCATTCGCAGCAGCGGCAATAATTTCTTGTGCGAGTCTCGGCGGAAGGGCTTCATTCCTTCCTTTGTCTCTGGCAGCGAGCAACAACCATTTCATGGACATGAATCTCGCATGCTTTTCCGTCACGGGAATTGGTACCTGGATTTCAGACCTCAGTTCGCAAAACTTTCTACGAATAACGCTAAATCAAATGGAGAAAACCTGATATGTAGCCCCTCCTCTTTTAATGGGAGTGAGCTTCAGGTGCGGCGTAGAATTCTTCAAAGCTCGATGAAAGATGATCAATGGATCCAACTCCACGGTTTCTTTCTCTTCTTCAGGGACGTTGTGATACTTCTCCAGCTGCTTCATTTTGATTAGCCTAAACGCCTTTACGACGAAATTTTAAAAACGTTATAAAAAATTCATCTTCAGAATTTTAAAAGACGTGAAAACGCACAAAAATTTGCATAAACTGAAAACGAATTTTCTTGTGTGAAGAAAAATGAAAATTATAAGTCCTCGAAATCTCACAGCAGTACGACTTTGTAAATTTAAATTGCTATCTCGTAAAATTTAAATTAATACGTATAGTTGAAACAGATTTGAACTGAATTTTCCTCACATCAGCAGAATGGAGTGAACTTTTAGGCAATGAATCCCAAAATAAAACGCACTACATACAGTAGAGTACTTCGATTTTCGAACAGGCTACCAATTGGGCAAGGCAACATTTTTTTCATCACTTCAAATATCGTACAGCGTTCTCAATAACCTTTTCGGGGAATTAAATCATACATTTCGTCGTACGGTTTTTCAAGCCTTTTTGTCATCTCGATGGTTAATGATGGAAAATTACGTACGGTACATAATAATGACTGTTCTAAAATGGAGAGTCAACATTTTAAAAACGATTTCCGTTTCTGGGATTATAACGAATTTGATAGACGAAGGTTAAATTAATTAAATAATTAATTTTTTTTAATTCGAAGCGTATGCGAGCAGAAAAATATACCAGGCCGATCTCCTTTTTCTGGTCAATATTGATTCATAGCATTAGAATATGTATTAGCGATAAAAATAAACTGATGAGTGGTTTACATTTTCAGCTTTTTCTTAAATCTTACCTCTTCAACCAATGATCGTGCGAGTAGTTTGTTCCCGTCCCACATCACCATACTAATGAATTTTCTGAAGAAAGAAAAAAAGTATTTTGAAGAATACAGCACTTCAACTAAATTTTTAAAAATGCGATCTACTCACTTTAGCAAATCATCTTGGAAGGGTGAACACGAGTCAATGGTTTTCGACGGTGCAATTGGTTGAAATTCCAATTCCTCCAATGTCCCGTCCTCTTTCTTCTTCAAGTAATCCACTTGCGTTATCACGGGGATTCGAAACGGCGGACCATGCTTAGCAAATCTCTTCCTGCGGGAATATTTTAGCGTCAAAATTTCACATGTTTCCCATAATCTTGGATACTCAGTTTTTCAGCAAAATTTATTTCCCATTGGCATCGAGGATTCTTCATTTTCAATCAACTTGAAAAAAATAAACCTTTCCGCAAGGAAATTTAGATTCGATCAACCAATCAAAACAATCAGCCACGGAGAAGTTACACTTCGAAATTTAGCATTATGTACAGAAATGAGCAGCATTTTCTAAGCAGATAAATCATCCGAAAAACTCACTTCACGTCAAACTTTTCTTGAAGCACAGAAGCTTTCGAGTAACCTGTAACAAGACGTAACCTGTAACTTACGCATGAGTGAAAGTTCCTGGGACACAATTTCGTAGGACACGCGAAAAGCTTTGAAACATTGTTCCCACACGAACAGAACACTGTTGATTTCAGAAACATCCAATCAAGTTATGGAAAGAATTTTTAAAAATTAATAATAACTCGACACAAACTCAAGTCATACCGTTCTTTCACACACTTTCGGGGTTTCCAAATCCCTTCGGAGAAAACTCATCTCAACAATCACGTGAATGATGCATAAAAATACCCCCTTCGGTTATGTATTCCTTCGCATTTTGCGTAGTCAATGCATTACAATTTTAATACACGAAGAAATCTTTCAGCCCAACAAGCATTTTTTACGCGTATGAAAAAAATTCCGATAGGCATGTACGATTTCACAGGACTCGGTAAAGGCTCGAATGACTCGCGTGAAAACAGCACACCGTTGCCGCTAACGAACAGCAACGCGTTCCTTCACTAACCAATCATAGGAAAAAAAACGAAGGAATAATCTCGCACCTCCTTTAAAAAAATAATTCACATCACAATCATTCACGGCGTAGGTTATCAAGCCTAGCCTGCAAATCCGCGTCTGCAGCCGACACCGGGGAACTAGGGCCGCCAACTGCAACGGCGGAAGGAACTTTGGCAGCTGCGGCGGCTGCGACGGAACCAGAAGCTTGCGGAAGACCAGATAACTGGTCAGTTAATTGAAGTCCGAGCTCGTCGAGGACTTGCGAAACAACCGCGTTACTGGAAAAGTGAACACGTTCACAAAAGATGATCATTCGGTTATCTTCTGTTCGCAGGTAACCCTTTTCATCAATGGTCTTCTAAACATTTCTTATGAATATGGTGAATCAGAAGAAAATGGATCAAAGCTTAATATGAAGGATTTATTTTTATCGGTTCAAGCTAAAACGTTGGAAAAATAAAATGAAACAATATTCAACATGAAGATCTTCTGAGAAATTTGCGCATTCAGGAGTGAAGAGAAATGAGCATGAAAGAACAAGAAATAGAAAAAAATACTGCAAATCCGGAGAAAAAGCCGCCGCTTTTGTAAAAAATTTGATGTGGTTTAGTAATTACAAACATACGGTAACTCAACAATTTATTGTTGGGTGTAACTCAACACCCAACAATCAAAAGTCACCAAAATACGAAAAATTACTGATTTTCACTCTGCTTTGAATCAGGATAAAACGAAGAAGGTAATAATGATGCAAAAACTAGCAAACCTCTCATCTTCATCTTCGTCA